AGTGGCTCATGCCTGTAATCCCAGACTGTGGGAGGCTGAGGTGGGAGGACTGCTAGAGCCCAGGAATTCAAGACAAGCCTGGGCAACATAGTGAAACCTCATCTCTATAAAAAAAATTATTAGCAGGGTGTGATGGTGCACGCCTGTAGTCTCAGCTACTCGGGAGGCTGAGGTTGGAGAACAGCTTGAGCCCATGAGTTTGAGGCTGTGGTGAGCCAAGATAGTGTACCTGCAGAATGAGACTCTTACTCAAAAAAAAAAAAAAAACAGAAAGACAAGAAAATAAATTTTAAAATGCCCTTTTCTCTCTGGGTTGCCGAGTAAACTCCTAATTTCCCAAGACTCAGCTCATACAGCACCTCTTCAGTGACAGTTGCTGGTTCTCCTCTCTGTGTACCTTCCAGATTCCTCTTTTCAACATTTATCACACTGTATTAAATGGTTTGCTTGCATGTCCCAGAACTACAACCAAAGATCATGGGTCTTATTCATACCTGCATCTTCAGTGACTGGCACATTCCTAGTACTTGCATGGTACCAGGTCTAGCTCTTTTAATACAACTTTAAAATGTAGAAAACAAAACAAAGCATCAAAAAAATGCTTTTAAGGTCAGGCTCGGTGGCTCAGTCTGTTATCCCAGCACTTTGGGAAGCTGAGGCGAGTGGATTGACTGAGCCCGTGGATTCAAGACCAGCCCAGGCAATTTGGCGAGACCTCATCTCTACAAAAAATCAAAAAATCAGCCAGGCATGGTAGCATGCACCTGTAGTTTCAGCTACTTGGAAGGCTGAGGCGGAAGGATTGCCAGAGTCCAGCAGGTTGACACTAGGGTGGCTGTGAGTGTGCCACTGCACTCCAGCCTGGGCAACAGAGAGAGACTCCAACTCAAAAAAAAAAATCTTTTTAAAACATAAGGTTGAGAAGTGATGACATATATTATTACATCCTACTGGCAGTAAAATCTAAAAAGAGAGAAGTGATTCAACTACACCTAGCTGGAAACTATTTTTCTCTACAACCACAATTTATAGAGGGAAAAGTTTTAAATTGCTACTTTAAATTGTAATGAAATCTTACTGCAGCAACCTAATCCAAAAAGAATGGCTAAGCATGACTAACTATACAAAAGGAAATATATCAAGTCAAATTGTTTCCTCACTTTTTTAAAAAGGAAAAAAGAAAAAAATTCCTTTAGTTGACAAATCTGCTGTGCAGTTTTGAACATATATGACTTTCTGAAGGGAACACACTGCTGCTAAATGCATAACTGACTGTCATTCTGCATTAGTATTTTTTTGTTAATACCCGTCATTACAGATGTCTCCGCTTTTATCATTATAAAGAAGTAAAGAATTGATTTTTTTGCTTTTAAGTAAACAATATGGCACATCTTCACCATAAAATGTATAATTAGACACATTTTCTGCACAAGATACTAACAGTTTCACACTTAGTTTTTAGTTAAAAAAATAAGTTTTTAGAAGCAATGCTCAAAAACTTTAATGAATTGAATGTTTTGTTAAAAATTCAGTAAGTTGACAAGTCTTGTCATTTGACAATGAGAATAAATTCTAACTATTTAAAAAAATTGTAATCAGCAAACTGAAAATTAGAAATTGAAATATTAAAATGATCTATGTCATCTTTAAAGTCACTTTAATCATTCTCAGCAGCACAGTGCTGAAGTCACGAAGCAGAGAAACAAAATTTTTAATTCACTCTTTCTTCACGCTCAACTTTTTAGAATTTTTATATTCCTCCAATCCTATCATGTATTCAGCAGCAGGCTAAGCTGAAGGCATTTTATGGAGCTCAAAAGACAAAATGACTTCTGCAGACACCAGTTAGATAATATAGAGAAGAATTTTATGTCTGCTTTGCCACTAAATTTAGCAGCCATGCACACAGATAATGATCAAGTTTTTCTTTCTTTTCATTTCACTAAGACCTTCATTCCTCAAGACCTAAAATATATCTAAATCTTTGATTTCTCTTTTCTGCTTCATGTGACAATCTGAAAATATACTTGTGGACATTTCTCACACAGTCACCAGTTGTAAAATTGTAAAAAATTGTAAAAAATACGTAACTAGAGGAGTTCTAACTTGTTTTGTGTTTTTCCAACCCTGTAATAATAAGAGCAAATAATAATAATACCTCAGTTTTATCCAGTGCTGGCTCTGACCCAAGCACTCACAACAACCTATGATACAGACTACTATTATGCTCAGTTTGCAAATGAAAAAACTAAGGTTTAGGAAAAATCAGTGACTTGCCCAAGGTCTCACAACAGGTAAGTTACGAAAATGGGATTCAAACCCAAGGTTGACTGAAACTATGCTGTTTATATTTATTGTATATTCTCTTCCATGGTAGAAAATGATCCATTCTTTACTATTCTATTTTATAGCATAGCTTCCCTGAGCACACTGGTGAAAAAACAGGAATTGGCTATGCTCATCCACTTATTAATGCATTCAACAAATATTTTATTAGCTCCTTAAAACCTCTGTTCGACCTTCAATTCTTTTAAGTGTTTCTGAGTATTTAGTCCATAGACTGAATATGCTCCTACCAAATTCACATGTTGAAATTCTAAACCCCAATGTGACAGTATGAGGAAGATGTCATTTGATGAAGGAACCCTCATAAATGGGATTTGCATCCCTATAAAAGGGCTTTTAATAGCTCTCACACCCTCTTTCCACCGTGTGAGGATACAACGCAAAGTCTTTCAACCTAAAAGAGGACCCTCATCAGAACCTATGCTGGCACCATGATCTTGGACTTCTAGCCTCCAGAGGTGGGAGAAATACATTTCTGTTGTTTATAAGCCTTCCAGTCTATGACATTTTATTATAGTAGCCTAAACAGACTGAGACAGAAATTGGTGCCAAGAAGTGGGGAAGGAGCTGTAATACAACCTTAAACAGTTACATTCATTTATTATTTCACATCACCAAGCAAAATATGTGAGATAAAAAATTCTCTTTGTTGAGGCCACTTTTAATTGGATTTTCTATTACACTAACATCCAAAGCATCCTAACTCACACAAACGCTTACCAAAAATTGCATTTGAAAGGAAAATGAGCAAGGATAACCAGGAAAAACAGTCTGCAAACAGACAAAAAAACATACAAAAACACAGTGTGTCTTCAGTTCAAAAACCAGTTGCAGAATTACAGAATGGTGTGAACCTGGTTTAACAGATCAAATAACAAAGATCTAAGTGTTTTACTAGTGGACACAAAGTAACCCGACACTATGACATGGCTAAGAACAATGTGCAGCCATTTCAGGTAACATTAATAAAACTAGAGGCCCAAGATCATGGTGTCAAAGTCTTACAAAACTCAACACTGGTCATCACACCTCTGAAATAAATTAATGATAGTATATGATTAAGGACACTGGAAAGCAGGGGTACCAAAGCAGGGTCACCAGGAGGGTGAAAGATGTAGAGACCATATAATCTGAGGACAGGCTGAAGAAATAACAAATGCACAGTCTGCAAGAGGGGAGACTAAAGAGGATGTGATGGCTATTTTCAAGGGTTCTCCTGGAAAAGTGGCTGGACTTAGTCTCACCACCTCAAAGAGAGGCATCAGAAGCAACAGTTGGTTACTGCAGAAGGTGCATCTGGGTTTATGAGAAGCAATTTTCTAACTACTAGAGCAATCTAAAAGTCAAATAAGTTATCTCATATTTTAATGTATATTTCAATATACATTAAAAACAAACATACATACTAGAGTAGTCATCAATCCCATGGTTTTGTGACTATTACTGTTTTAGGACAAACGAAGTAACAACTTAAAGGTGATTTAAAGAAAAACATTAAATCAACCTATGTGATTTAATTTAACTAGACATAATATTTTATGATGTTAGTTACCACCTAGAATGCACCAAAGGTCTTTTAAAAAGAAAAAAATTACTAAGAAGAAAAACAATTTTTTAAAAAAGAAAACATTAAGTTAATTACAATACAATAAGAAGATGTCAAAAAAAAAGTCAATTTTGAACATGCTTCTCTGTAGGGATTTTTGATTTGAACATCCTGAAACCAGAGTTTCTCTTTATCAAAGCTGTGTTAGTACTTAGTAAGTCTCTGAAAACATGGTAACTTGCAACTACATTTATGTAATACCTATCACAGTAAAATAGGAACTAAAAGTTTTCATTATTTCAGTAACAATCTTAGAAATCTTGATTATTAATGGCTATAACTATAAAATGTCTGGACCTCTCATGTAACTAATCTTCTATCTCAAAACACTGATACTCTTGCATCTAATAAGCATTTATGAAAAGTCTTCAAGGGGCCAGGCACTGTGGTAAACAAAAATCTGAAAGTAAATTTGCAAGTTTTCATTTGAAAGATCTATTGCTACCCTGAGGAAAAATTGTAAACATTTAAGTAAAACACCAAAAGAGAATTGTCTTTACCATCATGCTCATTAAAAATACATCTGTATTTTTGTATGATTAAAGCCCAAACTATTTTCTGTGCTACACATATACACATACAAAATCTAGACACCTTCAGTTAGCTCTGCCTCAGTATTTGATGCTCTTGCTACAATATATTCTGAAAATCCTTGGGAATCTTACTGAGGTCCTAAGAGCAATCTTGTGATGTCTCTGTGAAAAGTCCGCCCACCTCTACCTTAAGGCACTGTATAGCAGGCATATTCTTATAGAACAAAGAAAGCGACAGGCCCCTCTGGAGGAAATGATGCCACAGTACACTACCAGAGGCATTTTTCTGCCAAACGAGAAGCCTGACCTTTTCTCTTCTTTCCTTTCCCAGCTGCTTAAGCCAAGAAGTACTTTAAGTTTGAATAATCAAATAATAAGTGACATCTAATATGTATAAGAACACTGAAGTTTAAACCTGTCCCCTGAAGACGTTTATCCATGTGTCCATTTCCAACTGCATTTCAGCCAAAGTCTAAAAAATAAAAATAATGAGCCCAGAAAGACTTCCCTCCTACCTCCTGAGTGTGTTCCTTATAGACTTGCAGTGGCCCTGCGGGTTTGGCGGTGTCCCAGAGCTGCAGCGAGCCATCGCCACTACAGGTAATGAGGACATGTTCATTGTTCTCACTCCAGGTCACATCAAATAAACCATCGTTCCAATCAAAGCTACACCAGGAAAGTTAAAAAACAAAACAAAACTTACATACACAACGAAAAAAAATCAATTTTACAGTTATGGAGTTTTTTTCTTGCAATTGATCACATAATTTAATACACATCTTCCGTGTAATCCTCACAACTGTGGGAGATAAGTAGAAACAAGTTCAGAAAGGTTTAAAAAAAAAGTCCAGGCCATCCAGGTGGGAAACTGCCAAGCTGGATTAAAATTAGGTCTCCCAACAACAAATATGGAGCTACCTACATGAGGGCTTGCTGATCTACCTGAGTGTTTTCTGTGGTTCATAGGATGGGTCAGCAAGCACTTCAAAATACTAATATAGACCACTAATTTCAACTTTCCCATAAATCTTTTGCATTACCTATATAATACTTGTCCCATAAATTATCCATCTAAGGTATAAACAGGTAATTAGCTTCTGACATGACTTCCTTTTTTTTCTCTACCTTTGACTAACCTTGATAAAAGTTTAAGTCACACAGGCAAGACAGGCAAGGAAAGAAAAGAGGTATTGAATAATCTATAAAATGAATAATTAGCTCCTAAACGAATAAATTTAAACTATATCAAGAAGACAGTAAAGACAGGCAACATCATACAGCATTTTAGTTTACATTTTCTTATGGGTTTTCATTTCAGATGAATATATTTTTAATTGTTTTCTTTTTGAGTCAGGGTCTCACTCCATCACCCAGGCTGGAGTGCAGCAGCGCAATCACAGCTCACTGCAAGCCTAAAACTGCCTGGGCTCAAACATTTCTCCCACCTCACCCTCCCAAGTAAGTGGGACTACAGGCATTCACCACCATGCCCACCTAACTTTTTTCAATCTTTTGTTGCCCAGGCTGGTCTTGATCTCCTGAGCCCAAGCAATTCTCCCACCTAGGCCTCCCAAAGTGCTGGGATTACAAACGTGAGCCACTGTGCCTGGCCCACGTTTTTTTTTTTTTTTTTTTTTTATGCTGGAATCCTGGGCTCAAGGGATTCCCCAATCTCAGCCCTGTGAATAGCTGAGACTGCAGGAGCCTGCCACCATGCCCAGCTAAAAATAACCTCTATACTATGCAAATGCTTAAGTTCCTTTTATGTTGCAAATTAAAACATCCTATTGATCAAAGAGTCAAAACCTAATTATATTAAGGCTTTTCTAGTATATATAAGTTTAATAATTAGAATCATCTTACCTTCTAAAAAGCCTAAGCCCAGATTCATTTTGATCCAATATTAATAGGGTTCCACAGCCTAAAGAGAAAAAAAAATCAATCACGCTCATGTGGTTCAACCTGCCAGGATAACATCTAAGGTCAAGGTGGTATGAGGCACTGAGTAAATTTTACTACCACAAATTTCTCCCCGAAGTTATTGGGAAACGTGTATACAAAATGATCAAGATTGTGTTTTTGATTTGTTTTTTCATATTGTGCTTCAAATCATTAAATATATATCTCACCTATGATTGGAATCTAGACACAGACCTAACAGAGGGCCTACTCTGTGGCCAGGCAAGTTACCAGGGACACAAACCTTCCAAGATGGTGTTATTTCCCCTACTGACAGATGAGAAACCTCAGGCCTACAAACCCCAGAGACTGTGGCTTCTTCTACTAAATCTCCTTGCCTCGTCAATAAATCTAAAACATATCCAATATGGGATTTTAAAACAAAATGTGAATGTGAAAATACCTAGTGGAATTTACCACACAGTTAATGATAAGGTGCTGAAAACAGTATTAATATCACTAGTCTACCAAAGATGAGTTTACTAAAGAACCAATGTATTTGGTTTTTCTTTTAATAAAATATCTGTAAATTGATGCCTCTTACCAAAATCGGGGAGTTTTTAACCATTAGTTATTCAAGTACTTTATCACCCCTATTTTCTTTTTCCAATCCTTCCATGACTGTAATGACATGAATATTATTTTTCTGACTTTTTCTAACTCAAGACTATAGGGGTCTAGTTTTTTGTTTGATTTGTATGTTTGGGGGGTTTTTTGATGTTCAGCTTGGGTAATTCTACACTGTTCTGCCTTCCAGTTCATGTATTTTTTTTTGTCCTTTCTATTCTGCCGTTGAGCTTATCCACTAGAGCTTTTTATTTTGGTTAATGTATTTTTCAGTTTTCAAACTTCCATTTGAGAACCAATGTATTTTAAAAGTTGGGTTTTTTGTTGTTGTTATTGTTTTTTGTGGAGACCAAAGGGTCTAGGAAAAACCTCTTGTGTTTGAATGTAATTTCTTAAAATATCAACTCCTTTTAAGGAGTTTTTTGGAAAACATTTAAAGTATTAATATCATTACAGACTCATGAGTCTTCAATCTAACTGGTGGGTAAGCACTGTAAGTCTCAGTGCGTGAGCACTAAGAGCTAACGGTGGAAAATAAGAAAGGATCTCTCTCCCTCTGAATTTTAGAAATCACATTATTTTCCATTGTGAGACCAAACTAAAAATACAATAACACTAGCTAGAACACGAATTAAAAGCAAAATTGAGAATGGACCCATGCCTTCCCATCTAGCCCGTGGACAGAAATAATTAACTTGAGTCACTAACATCTGCTTTCAAGAGTGTGTGTGTGTGTGTGTGTGTGTGTGTGTGTGTGTGTGTGATATAATTCCCTTGAGTCACTAACATCTGCTTTCGTGTGTGTGTGTGTGTGTGTGTGTGTGTGTGTGTGTGGACAGAAATAATTAACTTGAGTCACTAACATCTGCTTTCAAGTGTGTGTGTGTGTGTGTGTGTGTGTGTGTGTGTGTGTGTGTGTGTGTGTGTATTCCCCCATGAAACAAAAGGTGAAGACTGAACTTGACGCATTCCATGATGGCACTGGTGGGAAACTCCAAGTGTCTAGAACACCAAGCGCCAGAACACCCTCTTCTTAGAACAGCGTGGACAGAAATAATTAACTTGAGTCACTAACATCTGCTTTCAAGTGTGTGTGTGTGTGTGTGTGTGTGTGTATTCCCCCATGAAACAAAAGGTGAAGACTGAACTTGACGCATTCCATGATGGCACTGGTGGGAAACTCCAAGTGTCTAGAACACCAAGCGCCAGAACACCCTCTTCTTAGAACAGCGTGGACAGAAATAATTAACTTGAGTCACTAACATCTGCTTTCAAGTGTGTGTGTGTGTGTGTGTGTGTGTGTATTCCCCCATGAAACAAAAGGTGAAGACTGAACTTGACGCATTCCATGATGGCACTGGTGGGAAACTCCAAGTGTCTAGAACACCAAGCGCCAGAACACCCTCTTCTTAGAACAGCGTGGACAGAAATAATTAACTTGAGTCACTAACATCTGCTTTCAAGTGTGTGTGTGTGTGTGTGTGTGTGTGTATTCCCCCATGAAACAAAAGGTGAAGACTGAACTTGACGCATTCCATGATGGCACTGGTGGGAAACTCCGTGTGTGTGTGTGTGTGTGTGTGTGTGTGTGTGTGTGTGTGTGTGTGTATTCCCCCATGAAACAAAAGGTGAAGACTGAACTTGACGCATTCCATGATGGCACTGGCGGGAAACTCCAAGTGTCTAGAACACCAAGCGCCAGAACACCCTCTTCTTAGAACAGCGTGGACAGAAATAATTAACTTGAGTCACTAACATCTGCTTTCAAGTGTGTGTGTGTGTATTCCCCCATGAAACAAAAGGTGAAGACTGAACTTGACGCATTCCACGATGGCACTGGCAGGAAACTCCAAGCGTCTGGAACACCAAGCGCCAGAGCACCCTCTTCTTAGTACAGCCCACAGGTTTTGGCTCAAGGCTGGAATGCAGTGTGGACGACGTAGGCCAGCCAGCAAGCACTGGGGTGACCCTGCAGACAGGCTCAGCCCTCTCTCCGCACCGGGGTGTGTGCCAGGGTGTGTGTGCCCTTGGGAGTGTGTGCACCTGGATGCGTGTGCGCCTGGCAGTATGTGCACCTGGCTGTGCGTATGCACCCGGGTGGTGTGTGTGTGTGTGTGTGTGTGTGTGTGTGTGTGTGCGCGCCAGAGGCGGCAGAGACAGCGCGGTCTTATGGAGCAAGGGCACGGTCCACTAGGCTACACCCATACGCTACTTCCACACCGGAACCGGAATGACTGATCTACCCCGCCGGCAAACCAACTCCCCAAGCCAGCCAAGGAGGAGAGCGGCGTCGGCGGGTGCCTCTGCCTCCCCCTGGCGTCGACCGGCCGCACCGTCGGCTCTCGGAAGGGCTTCCCCACCAACGCGAGGAGCTGGAGCTCGGCCGCCCGCGTCCCCGCCCGGCGGCGCAGCCCCGCCTCACCCGCAATGCCGTAATGCTGCGCGGCGGCGCAGGCCAGGCGGCCCGGCAGGTACGGGGAGAACTCGGCGGCGTAGCCGTGGCGGCCCGGCACCCGCAGCGTCCGCGCCCCTCCGCCGCGCGCCGCGATCATTCCGCCCGCCGCCCGCAGGCCTCGCCGCCCCGGCACCGCGGAAGCAGTTCCCAGTAGGAGGCGGACGGTCGCGACTCGCCGAGAGAAGTTAGCTAGCTGCCTAGGAAGACCTTGCGGAAGTGAGAGTCACGTGCTCTGAATTCTGGGTTCTGATTGGCCAGAAAAGGAAAGGGTGTCGCCTCCACAGAGACCATTTTTGTTTGGGGCAAGTCAAAATTCTGGGGCGGGAACTGCAAGGATCCAGACCTAAAGGCAGTAATCTAGAGTTCCGACGATCTCAGAATTGCATCTCAGCCTCCTCTGCGGGACTGCCTGGTTTTTATTTATTAAACCTTTGAAAGACTGGCACCAGTAAGTTTTCCTGATGATTATAGAGTGAGACAAGCTACAGCAAACACCGAAACCATGCAGCGAGTCCAAAAGGCGATTGAGTGCTGTGTTGCCCAAAGTAACTTGAAGCAAAGATAACCTACGATAGTGGAGTCTGTGCGGTCTTAAGGAACAAGGGTGTGGGCTCGTAGGTTACTTCCACACTATAACTGGAAAAGATGAGACCACCGACTCCAGACCACCTCCCGCCCTTGGCAGATGAGGAAAGGGGAGCCGGTCATTTCTATTGAAGCGAAAGAAAAACGATAGCCTCGTAAGCAACTAACTTAGGGAAAAATTCTCACTATATACATTGGATGGTAATTAGTGTTCAGATGACGGCATTTATTCATTCACTAATTCATTGCCAGGCATGTACTGTCTGGAGGATGAAGGTACATAATTTATCTGCCAAACCAAGACACTTGAGACGAAAAGAGGGTGTAGTTAATAATACTCCAGGTCAACAGGCACAAACCAAGTCGTATGATGACCTTAACTATATACCAAGCACAGTGCTAGGCATTTGGAATTCAAGATAAGATATCGTCCATGGCCTCAAGAGATTAGCATCTAGTAAAGAGAAGGCATGTAATTAGTTAAGTAATCAAAATACTGTAGGGGCTATGATAAATATATATCGGGTATTTAAAAAAGAGATTGTCAATGCTGGAGATGGGTACAGCAAGAAGCACTTCAGAAAGAAGATAGTCCTTGTGGTGAGTACACAGATGAGTAGGTTTTCTTTAAGGAGATAGAAGTCATTATAGAAGCAGAAATAACATGAGCAACCCCGGAGACCTAAACCAGGATGATCCATAGGGGATCATGGCTGCCAGGACTCAGCCAGGACAGATGTAAGGGAATACCATGAAGAGAACATTGGGTGGAGGGACTAGAGTGTTGTACTGGGACTGGATCATGACGAGTCTTGTGCCATATCTAGGGAATTGGATTTCTACTGTAGTTGAAACAAAGGAGAAGGGTGGAAGTTTCCTAATGTGAGAAATTAAATAACCAAGTTTTCATTTTAAAAGATCTTTGGCAACACTCATCTGGAGGATAGAGAGATTAGAGATGGGAGGCCAGTTCAAAGATTTTAGCAATGGGTCAAGCAAAAAAATGATTAAAACTTGAGCAAGGATTATGGTAATGGGAATGGACAGTAAGGGTCGGGTAAAATTTTCAGGCAATAACTTATAATACCTGGTACATAAAGAAGAGGGTGGAGTCAAAATAGCTTCCAAGTGTCTGACTTAAGTGCTTGGATGGATGCAGGGACTGTTCCCTGAAATAAAGACTGTGAGAGGAGGAGCAGATTTGGAAAGAAAATGAGCATCAGTTTCAACATCTTAAAGTGTAAGTTTCTTATGGGCTGTTGGACACATCAGTTGGACTCAGGCAAGTGTTTCTATTTGCATGTCGGCAATATTTAAGCCATGGAGATGAGTGACCTCACTCAAGAAAAGAGTGGTGTGAAAAGAGTAGAGGACCAAAGATAGAACTTTGGGGAAAATACCAATGTGTAAGGCTTGGCAGAGGAGCTAGGAAGAGACCCACTAAATTGGTCCTATTAATTTATTAAGTAATCTGTTTAAGACACAACTGAAGTTGGAAGGATTTACATATTACCTTTTGATGCATACTTAGTTGGATAGGTTAGTGGGTTGATCGCTTATAAAAAATGACTCAACAAAATTCTTAAGAGTATTGAAGGAAATTAAGCATCTTTTACAGTGCCTGGCACATAGCAAACATGATGGGAGAAAGTGACAACTATTACTATGGTAGAAGACAAGAATTTGCTAGCACAAATGCAAGTATGCAAGAAATGGAGCATTATTTATTTTCTTCAACTAACTTAACTGTCTATCTTCCCAAGCTGTTAGAAAATTTAATCCATCATGTGCAGAGCTTCCTAGTACTCTGTATGACCACACTAGAATCTGACACTAGAATGTAAAGTCTACAGAGGCAGGACCCTCATTGTGTTAAGTGTAATCAAAATACTATAGGGGCTATGATAAATATATATGTCGGGTGTTTAAAAAAGAGATTGTCTCTAGCACCTAAAATAGTGCCTGGCAAGTGATGAAGAGTCTCCAATCTTCAGATAGCCCCCTGTGCAAGCCTGAATAAGCATATGCATATGCATTTCTATGCCATCCTTGAATACAAGTAGGGCCCCACCTTCAATGCAGAGATGAGCTCCCACTTATCTGAGAGCCCTTTGAAATCATTCCTGCCAGAGAGCAGGGACACATCACTGTCACTTCTTCATGCTTCAGGATGTCCCCTCTCAATCTCTGCTCTCTCATAGTCATCTCTTACTTCTCCCTCCTCTAGGACACATTAAAACTCTGTTTGGTGAGTTTAGGCTTTCACCCAAGTTTATGAGCAGCTTCTATACTGGTCCTTCATATCTCCATAGGCCAAGGATCACAAAAGATTTGGCTACTTAATAGGATGGGGGAAAGGAAAAATACTACAGCAAAACACAAATTAATACGATACTAAATTGTCCTGTCATTTAATGAACAACAAAAAAAATGACATCAATCATTAATTAATAACAACTGGCAGTCACAACATAGACTTGTAGAAGCAGACAGAATGATACATATGCCTTTGCTCACCCCAAATCACACAAGCCCCAAATTCTTACCCTCCCCTGTGAACTGAGATGGGATATGTGTGCTTCATCACACAGGCAGCATTCCTCATATTTCAGATCCCTGCCTCAGAATCTTGTTGGGTGAGTTTTTAAATATAGATTCTTAGGGCATACCATAGACATATTTATTCAAAATTCCAGGGAGTGAATCTGGAAGTCTGCATTTTAACAAGCTTCCCTGGGTGAGTCTCACGTGCTGGCTAAAGCCCAGACAGAGAAGAAAAACACTTGGAGAGAAGTGCTCAGCACTGACAGGGAGTGGGACAATGGAAGAAAACGTTGGACGCTAAAGGGAGAGTATGCTCCAGGCAAGGGAAGCTCAGATTCTTAAGATGTTTAAAGAGGAATAGCATTCGTGCAATTGACTCCTTCTGTGAAGACCTATACGTTGCATGGCATCTTCCTCCTAAACCCCATAGAAGACCATCAGAACTAAATTTCTCGAGTAGCAATATGATGATGAGAACAGGTTCCAGAACCAGGCTCATGTTCAGTTCTTACCAACAATACTACAGAGTAAGGCTGAGAATTGAACTGCAGCTATACGAGTATACTCCATTTTTATTACCTTGTAAATATACAGAATGTGAGACTTACTTCAACCATCCTAGAAGTTTTTATTCAAGGTGGACATTTTGTATGTGGGTTTTCTTTCCAGTCCTTTTGCACATGTATAAACCTGAGATCCCAAGGTACTTAATGTCATTTTTCTTACATCCCCATGTGCTTTGCTTTCAAAGGTGACATAAAGTGGCCTATGTACTCCTGGATCAGTGTCAGCATGTCTGCAGTCACTCAGTTTTACAGACACAGGCAGGCTACATTCCGATTTAAATTATCCTGACTAAATAAAGGCAGAGTAGAAGCACTAACATTCTTTAAACTCGCAGTAACACAGGAAGACCACAGAGCCAAACAACTACTGCCCCACAAACGCCTACACCTGCAAATGTAAAGGACACTAATAAATGGATCCCCAAACTCTTTTTAGAAGTTCTACACAGGAAAAGGCTTAGGGAGGATGACACCTTTTCAAGGTGTGACCATTTTTCAAAATGTTTTAATCACAATGAAATCTTCAGCATTGGAACTAAATATAAGTTTAAGAAAAGTTCTCATTTCATTTAAAGATATAAACACAGGATAGCAGAACCAGAAGGTAAAGGACTGTGCCATAAAGAGAGGAAGTGCACCCCAAAAATGACAAAGGCTATCAAAAGGACACAGGAACCTCCTGGAGGGGTTTTCCCTGGGAAAACCCAGGCATTGATAGTTATAGATTTAAACTTACTAAGTAAAATAGAAGTCTGTGAAATCATGCTGATATGAATAAGTAATGGGAAAGAAGGCAGAGTGTTTCCTTATGGTAGAAGTCTTGTTAATAAAGGCAGAAACCACACGTAGGGCAGGAAGAAATACCAGAAAAATTCCAGTTGAGGGGCATTTTACAAAATAACTGGCCCATACTCTTCAAAATTATCAAGGTAATGAAAGATTAAGACTGAAGCACTGTTACCAATTAAAGCACACTAAAGAGATATTACAACAAATGCAGTGTGATCCTGGGTTAGACCCTGACCTAGAAAGATGTTATTCTTTTGCTATAAAGGACACTAGAGAACAAATGGCAAAAGTTGAAAAAGGCCTGTAGATTAATTAGTAGTTTTTAAATTTCCTGACTTTGATAATTGTGTTGTGTTTATGTAAAGCAATATGCCTTTTTTTTAGGAAATATAAATCATGTCTGCAATTTACTCTCAAGTAAAAATTTTAAATTTATAGATGGATGGATGATAGATAGATAGATAGATAGATAGATAGAATAGATAGATAATAGAGCAATAGATAGATAATAGAGCAAGTATGATAAGATGTTAACATTTAAGAATCTGTGTGAAGGGTATATGGTACTTGTCTGAACTATTTTTGAAACTTTCTTAGGTCTAATTATTTGAAATAAAGTTTTTTTTTTTTAAATCTAGTGTATTAAAAGCAAACCTTAATGGCAAGTAATGTTCTTAAGTAATCG